GATAATACGAGTACGCGAATAAGCGTATCACAATTCTCCGAAGAGCAGAGCCTGCAGCTCGCAATCGACGATATCGTTGCGGTCGAAGTTCTCGTTATCGCGTATCATGGCGGGAATAAGCGCCGAATCGTGAGCGCCTGCCGCGATATCGAGAAAACGAGTCAGCTTGTTATCCACATGCGCGGTTAAACCGCTTAAAGATGTAACGATGCGGTTGACACAAAGTTCTAGATTTAATATAGTTAGAACGGTGCTCTTCGATACGGCCAGACGAACCTTGGGTGTTTCGAGACGGAGTATTCGGAGATTGTTGAGTTTGCCGAATCGCAGCGTTAACTGTTCGATGTATATCGGCGCCGGAGGACGCGTCTCATCGGAGCGGGAGTCGTGTGTCGCGTGTCATTTCCCGAATTGCGCTATTCGTTGCGGGAGGCGCGGAGGGAGTATCGACCCCCCGCGAGGATCGTATAAATAGGATAAAGCGATCGATAATAAGATCAATAATCCTTCGATTATTAGAAGCGTTAAGAGGACGAAATGGCAGCATACACAAACAAAGAATATTACGATATGCTGATGGCACTTGGCGAATGTCAAGGACAGCATTACTTAGCTGCAAGACGATATGCCGAATTATACCCAAATCGAGAAAGACATCCATCGGCTCACGTCATACTTGCAACAGCTCAGAGGCTACACGAGACTGGCAGTGTCCTTTCAAATAAACACGACACTGGGAGAAATCGCGATACAAGAAATTTGCAGAACACGGAGCAAATTATACGTGCTTTCGAGCATAAACCCGAAACGAGTATTCGGGTGGTTGCTCGAGAACACGATTTATCTTATGCAACTGTGCAAAGAATATTGAAAGAAGAAAAGTTGCACGCATATCACTACACACGCGTGCAAGATTTGCGACCAGAAGATTTTCAAGCGAGACGTACGTTTTGCGAAAATTTTCTGAGGAAAGTAAATCGAAATCCCAGATACTCTTCTCGTGTGATATTCAGCGATGAATCGTTAATCACACGAGAGAGAATTTTCAATTCGCATAACATGCATTTTTGGAGCGAAGAAAATCCCAGAGTCACGCGATTAAGAAACTTCCAAACTCGTTGGAAAATAAATGTGTGGGCTGGAATAATGGGGACCGAAATACTTGGTCCAGTTATTCTTCCAGATATTTTAACTGGCCAAACATATCTGGAATTTTTGGAAGAAAATCTGCCAGATTTTTTAGAAGAAATATCATTATTAGAGAGAAACAAGATCGTGTTTCAACAAGATGGTGCTGGGCCACACAACGCCAGGATCGTTACAAATTATTTAAACGAGCAGTTTCCTGGGCGTTAGATGGGTCGGTATGGCCATTGGGCTGGACGTTGGCCTGCAAGATC